GCCACCCTACGCCAGGTGTCGTGGCCTCCATCTTCGTGACCTTCGTCGGCGGCGAGCACCCACCAGGTACGCACACCCCTTGTCTTCCGTTTCTCCTATGCGAAACCGAGCATCCAAACCCTAGCTTTGTCTCCCGTCGTTCCTGCTGTTCGAACCCGAGCATCCAAACCCTAGCTATGTGTATTTGGATCTGATATGATCCGATTCCATGTGTAGCATATATATGTATGCCTATACAAACTTTTTTCTTTTGGGGTGGCAAAAATATTGGGTGTGCATATGTACACCCATGTCCTTCACTGGGTCCGCCCGCCCTGGCCGTCGTCGTACCTCATTCTACACTAACATTGCTGCTCTCTGCTTGTTTGTCGCCTAGGAGAAGGCATGGCTTCACGCATGACGCCTTCCAAGAGGCCGTTTCAGAAAAATTCTTCAGACTTCAATGGCCGGGGCAAGTGGCAGAAGACAAAGCATTCTTCTCCACATAAATCTCAGTTCAAAATTGAGCCTGGTGTTCCCATTTTTCGTATCCTCTGCCCTGCTTCAAAATCTGGTAATGTAATTGGCAAAGGAGGTGCCATTATTGCAAAGATACGGGAAGAAACCAGAATGAGAATCAGGGTTGATAGAGCAGCCCCCGGTTGTGACGAGAGAGTTATTTTCATTACTGCTGCCGAGAAGGATGAAGAAGCTAGCAGTGAGCGAGGCGGAGAGAATGACGGAGGTGTTGCTGATTCTACTGGTGGTGACCTTGAGAGGGATAAAGATAGCAGCAAGGAGGAAAACGATGATCCAGAGGGAAACAACAGCAAGGAGCAGAATGATGATTCAGAGAAAGCAAACGGTAAGGAAGAAGAAGACGGTTTCGAGAAACACCACAGTACAGAAGAAAAGGATGATTCAGAGAAAGACCACATTTTGCAAGAGAAGGATCATTCAGAGAAAGAACACGATAAGGAAGAAAAGGATGATCCTTTTGTTCCAGAAGTTACAAAGTCAGAACCAGAGAGGGTAATACCATCGGCACTGAAGGCCGTTTCGCTTGTCTTCGATAGGATTTTTGCAGCTGAAGATAATAATGAAACTGGGAATGCGTCAGCTGCAAGCACTCCTGTTAATTTGCGATTGTTGGTGCTGTACAGCCAAGCAGGTTGGCTCTTGGGTAAGGGTGGTAGTGTGATTAAACAAATGTCAGCTGATAACGGCTGTGAAATCCGTGTTTTGAGAGACAACCTTCCATCATGTGCATTATTGAATGACAAACTTTGCCAGGTATAATTTTCAGCACTGGATTTCATTGTCATGTTCCATATGGTTGTCTTTTGTAACTTTCCTTTGAGATCATGCTGTAAGGTCTCAGTTTTTATTGTAAATACTTACCTTTGCTCTTGGTGTTTGTTGATATATCATTCATACAGATCACTGGAGAGATTGACTCAGTAAGGAAAGGTCTCAATGCTGTATCTGAATTGCTCTTAGCTCATCCACCCAAGGAAACTGATGCAATTGCTGGTCTTCATTCTTCTGGATCATCATCACGTTCTTTGTTCAACCAGTCTGATGGTCTTCCTTCAGGAATGCAATCTAACTTCCATATCCCTTTGCAAGGGCCATCCCAAGCCAATGGACCTTTTGATATCGTTGATCTTCAACCTCCGATACATGGCCATGCCTCAGTGCCTATAGAATTCCTCTCCTTTAGGATGCTGTGTCCACAAGACAAGGTTGGCAGTATAATAGGCAAGGGTGGAAATATTGTTAAAACTATTCAAAAAGATACGGGCTGTGAAATTAAAGTTCTTGACACTGTTCCAAAAACAGATGATCGCATCATAAGTATATCTGGACCTGCGGTAACCACTTTCACTATCTCTTGTTGCAAATGATTGTATTAGATTTTCATCTGTTCGCATTTAATGCATTTACCATCTGCTTACTGGGAAAAATGGCATTCGGCTGAGCCTTACGCTTTATTTTGTGAGACTCCATCCATTATTTCTAGAGTTGTAAATTTTGTGGGTCCATTTAGTGTTAGTGCAATGTTGATACATTTTTGCATGCTCTATTTACAAATTTCCGTCTTGGCACTACTGTATGGGATACCATTATTAGGAATGGCAAGACTTTTTTTTTGCAATTCTTTCTTGCTTAGCTAAGTTATTATTTTGTTTTTAATTTGACTCTTGAGAGGTATTAATTCATTTGGTGCCCTTTCCCTTTTTTTTTTTGCAATTCTAATGACTTAAAAAGAATTTTATAAGATTTCTATGGACTTAACTCTCAGTATTTCATTATCGTATGAAGTTTACGAGGACAGAATAGTCAGTGATGACTGATGTATCTATTTGCCTTCGTGTCTGTTCTGTAGCATCCGAGTGATGGAATTTCCCCTGCACAGAATGCCATTCTGCATGTGCAGCGTAAAATTATGTTACCTACCTCTGATAAGAAGGAAGGTCCTGCAATATGTAGGCTGATCGTTTCAGCAAACCAAGTTGGTTGTGTTCTCGGCAAAGGTGGTAGTATCATAGCTGAAATGAGGAAGCTGTCAGGAGCATTTATAGTAGTGTTGAGCAAAGACAAGATTCCAAGGGGTGTCCCAGAGCATGATGAAGTTATTCAGGTCTGTTTTTGTTGTATTGTATCCAAGAATTGTCAAAGTAACTGTTGAAAGAAAGTATCCATTCCTTTATCTACTTTACCTTTAGTTATTTTTGGCTTACTATCTGTAAATTGCTATTTTTAGATAAGCGGGGGCTGTGAAGCTATTCAAGAAGCTCTAATGCAGATTACTGCTAGGCTTCGTAACCACCTTTTCCGAATGCCTGCAATGGGGCCTAATATGCGGCCACCTTTTGGTTTGTTAGATTCTCAGTTTGGTCCATTTGCGGGAAACCATGAATCTCCATCCCTGTTTCATAAAGATTTTATGGGACGACCATTGGATGGGATCTCTGCTCCTTGGACAGTGAAGGTACCAAACCAACTGATCACACATGCTTGAGCTTGTGGCATGATACATTGTCCTATAGACTTCAATGTTCCTTAAGATTCTTATTCTGAACGCAATTCTGGCCCAAATTTTGCAGGGCATGCGTGATCTCAGCGATCCAGTGTCAATATCTGATATCCCTGGAGCAGGGCATAGAGAAGCTGGTGGATTTTCTGGGTTTGTTTGTTCTCTCACATTTTCTTTTTCTGGGGGTATACTCTTCTTAATCAACAACTTAAGGAAACATTGTGTTTAAACCTGATAAGTTGTCTTTGCAGTCCTGGTCAGCCATCTATGATGCCAAACTTGACTGCAGAGGTCTTAGTTCCAAGATTAATTATCCCTTCTCTCTGTGGTGAGGATGGAGGTTGTTTGGATAGGATCCGTGAGGTATGTATCCAACTAGTATTTTGTGTATCGTGTCCAACTGTTAGCTTGACAAGCGTGCTTGACCTATTAATTATGTGCAGTTTTCTGAAGCTAAGATAAGTGTTGCTGAACCTATAGCCGATGCAATGGACACTCCTGTTTTGATATCTGGCACACCAGACCAGATGCATGCAGCCCGAAGTCTTGTTCAAGCATTCGTTATGAGCGAATCGTTTGCCCCATGATATGTTCAGAGGTGATGACACATCGCTTTCTAATGTTTTGTTCGTTTATTTCTATATATATATATATATATATATATTAATCTAAAGCAGACGGTCAGATTTCTGATGATGGTAATTGTGTAGGCAGTGAAGCTAGTGATAATATGTGGGTTCATGTTTGTGAATATGTCACATGTGTCCCTGTTTGCAGAGTGGCATATGCTCCAAGAGGCTAATTAGGCTGAACATAGAGACTAGAGTTCCAGTCTGTTGGGAGAATCTTTATAGGTTGTTGCAAAATCTTCCAAACTCGTCACTTGATTTGAGATATGGAGCAACATTTTGAGTAGCAGCAGAAATGTGTTGCTTATGCAAGCAGTATTGTTGGACCCGAGAAGGGCTTCTATCTAACCTTTTTGTACTGATGTTGTGAGATGTCACCATTATCTGTATTTCCAGTCCGGCTTATATCTGTATTTCTAAGCAGCAGCAGTGCATAATAGTGGCGACTGAGGTTTTGTGCCGGTGCCGCGCCTATGGTGTTCTTACACATAATTTCAAACCTCTCGTCTCTATATTCAAACTTTGATTGTGATGATACAAGTAGCTGCCATATTTCTGTTTGCAAAAAGAAAAAGGAAAAGGGGGTCAAACGTGTTGCAGCCAGAAATAACAACTGGTGGCCTGAAATGAATGCAAGGAAGGCAAGAAATTGCACGGCAATGTATGTAGAGTACGTGGACCATATGATATATGGTGGGCAAGGCAGTCACTTGTCACAGGCTGCATCAGTGTTCAGTGATACTGACCTGACTTTGGGTCCTTTTTTTTGGTCTGTTTTCACAGTATTATATCCGTGCTGTATGTAGGCTGTGAATTGAACGGATTCCTATCTAGTCTAAGCTGTATGGGAAGGGAACTGGACCAGTTCCTGTGAAAATTTAAGCCTTAAGACGGCGGGATTACATACAGCTATGTTGTGTTTGATGCACTACTTGAAGAGAAGTATGTATCCATCGATGAATTCTCTGTGTTATGTGAATTCTTCCTTTTGAAGAAAAAAAGCTGTGAATTTTGCGCAAATCTGATAACAAATTTTTTTACTTTAAATAAAAAGCAAACGGGAATTAATCTATTCCTTTTCCTTTCTACGGCGCAGAAGAGAGAAATCGCAGTAGGTTAGCTAGGTTGGAGAGGGCTCGGATAGAGCCATGGAGGTTGACAGGCGTGCATTTCCCAAATCCAAATCCCAACCAGGCATCGTCATCATCATCTTATCAGAGAGCAAGGCAGCCACTCAAAAACTGTGCTGAGCTGCACCTCTTCCCTCCACAACCTCTCACTCCATGCTCCATGCGCCAACAAACTACTCTTCTTGTCTCCACTCAGCTCCACATCCGCTAGGTAGCTAGACCATGGGGTGCGCGAGCTCCAAGGCCAGCGAGGACGTCGCGGTGGCCGACGTCTACCGCCCGCCGCCCACCAGCGTGTCCCTCTTCGACATCAGCGCCGTCGAGGAGCCCTGGCTCATCGCCAAGCAGAGCAAAGCCGCTGATGATGACGACGACGAGGAGGAGGATGAAGAGACGACCGATGACGACGAAGAGGACGACGACGAGAAGCAGCCCGCCGCCAAGACCGTGGTGCCGCTCCCGCTCCTCGACAAGCTCGAGGGATACGAGCTCGCCCCGGCGTCGTGGTCCGAGGTCAGCAAGGTCCTGGAGGACATGAAGCCCGTCCTCGACTCCAAGCCGCCGCCGCCTGCTCTCAAGAAGAAGAAAAAGAAGAAGACCAAGAAGAAGAAGAAGAAGCAAGAGCAACCAGAAGCTGCTCAACCGCAGCAGGAGCAGAAGCCGACGATGACGGCGGCGCCCGTGGTGCCTGCTGCCACGGACGGCGACGCTGCTTGCAAGAAGGCGCCGCCGCCGTTGCCCGGCGACCTACCAGACATCAGCAGCAGCAAGCCCGCGCCGCCGGAGCTCTCCGGGCGGCGCGTCGTGAAGGACAACCCGTTCCTGATGCGCGACCGCGAGAGCAAGGGCGACGGCACCACCGCGGCGCCGCGGTGGAAGCGGCGGGACCCGTTCGAGGGATGCCCCGAGCGGCGGCCCCCGGGCGCGACGGGCGGCGGCGTGGTGCTGTACACGACGACGCTCCGCGGCGTGCGTCGCACGTTCGAGGACTGCGAGCGCGCGCGGGAGGCGGTGGAGGCGTGCGCGGCGGCGGCGGGCGTGGCGGCCGTGGACGAGCGCGACGTGTCGCTGCACGGGGAGTACCTCCGCGAGCTGCGGGAGCTGGCTGGTGAGGGCGCGCCGCCGCCGCGGCTCTTCGTGATGGGACGCTACGTGGGCGGCGCCGAGGAGTGCGAAAGGCTGGCCGAGTCAGGGAAGCTGCGGGAGATGATGCGGTGGGCCAAGGCCCGCGGCGAGGCGTGCGCGGCCAAGGACGGCCGCGGCTGCGAGGGCTGCGGCGGGGCCCGCTTCGTGCCGTGCTGGGAGTGCGGTGGTAGCTGCAAGGTGGTGGTGGCGGCGGCGGACGGAGGGACGGCGACCACCACGGAGAGGTGCGGCAAGTGCAACGAGAACGGGCTCATGATGTGCCCCATCTGCCACTGATTGCATTGCAGTTGCAGAGCTCATTTGTTTGCATGGATGCATGCAAAAACATACATACGGCATCATGTACAGTAGTATACGTTTGACGATCGTTCCATCAGTTGCAGTTTTATACACAGTACGTACAAAGAGATTTGGACGTAGGCGCATTTATATAGAATCCTTATATAGTACGTATATATATTGTACACGTACGATACGATGTGTAAAATCTTGTGTTAGTACGGTGCTACTGTAGTTGAAAATTGAAAGAGGGAGTACATGCATGTTGTTGCAATATACGTATGGTTGTAGACGTCATGGTCCGAGTCAAGATCCCAGAACCGAGCATCAAGAGCAAGCGAACCAGGAAGCCCAACCCGTGGGTTACTGGGCCGGACTGGAAGAAGTAAAGAAGGCCAAGCCCAGCTGCGTCTGGAGTACTGCTGCGAGACAGCTGTAACGTCTATATGAGCGAGAAGAGGAATTCGATTTTGCTTTGTCTTGGTTGGCGACGGCATAGGCGGCGAGCTGCGGCTCGAGATCGCCGATGCCATCCGATTCCACCGCTATTTGTATCCAGATATTATCAGTGATTCTAAGTGAACACGTAGTAAATCCACCATATCCATCCGTGTTGCTTAGTATCGTGACATTTGGTATCGGATTCATCTAGATCCCGGGAGTTTAGAGTTTGTCGCCTTGATCGCGTCTGTAATCCCCGTCGGCAGAATCGCGCGATCCACCTCGCTGTCGATTGCGTGTTTTCATAGGTCCGATCCGAGGTCTGACGGGTCGGCGTCGAAATCCTGGCTCACGCCCACCGTACTTGCCTGCAAGTCACCATGAAGGTTGAGGACCAGTTAGCTCTCATCCTAACCAAGCTCGACGGACCGACCAAGGGGATCAACGAGGGGAATCGCCAGATCAATGAGGTCCAGGTCTCCATCGATGATCTCAAGGCGGCGAAGGACGATTTCGAGCAGTGGCGGCCCCAAGTAGATTCCAAGGTGGCGGATCTACGCTCCTGCGTCGACTCCCTTCGCAGTCAAATGGTCGAGCTGCGTTCAACATCGCCTAAGCTGAAGAATGTCGTCGAGGATGACCACGTCTACACCAAGTCGCCGGGGTCCGCTCATCTGGACCCGTCCCTTTCGGGGGCGGCGCAAGGGCCGTTAGGCCACGGCGGTGAATCGAGTCACCGGGGGTCGGGTTCGGGGGGCGATGCGACCCTTGAACCACCTCCGGTCAAAGGTGAGCCCCAAACACCCCCAACCTCACCTCATAGTGATCATGATCATCACTTCAATTCCTGTTGCCACCACACCAATTTCAATCAAAACTTACCCCAGCAGGATTTCCCTAAGTTCTCTGGCTCTAATCCAAAATTCTAGATCAAACAGCATGAATCTTATTTTGATCTCTATGATATTCCACCTAGTAATTGGGTTAAGCTAGCCACCATCAACTTCACTGGTACTGCAGCCTTCTAGATGCAGACTATTGAGCTTAATTTGCATAAATGCTCTTGGGAGATTCTCTGCTAGAATGTTGTTGATCGTTTTGAGCGCGATCAGTTCAATCATTTCATTAGACAATTCTTCCACGATAAACAATCTGGTCATGTCTTAGACTATATCACATTGTTTGATGACTTCATGCATTAGTTACTTGCTCATGATCCTCTTGTTAATCCTATTTTTCTCATGAGCAAGTTTATTGATGGCTTGAATGATGCCATTAAACCTGCTATTATGATGCAATGACCCAAAGACCTAGACACTGCTAGTTCCCCTACTATCTTGCAGGAGGAGATGCTATTGGGGCAACCATCTCGAGAATACAAGAAGCTTGATTATGCACAACATACCAAACGCGGTTTCAGCTATTCAGGAGGCCAATCAGTGAAATCTCAAACTACTGATTCTGCTGTCTCAGATATGTCTCGTCCTAATACTGTTCAGGCTAAGACTGATGAAAAGCTTTATGCTCTGATGACATATTGAAAAGCCAGAGGTTTATGCTTTAAGTGTGGTGCCAAATGGGGACCTCAACATAAATGTTCAGCTACCATCCCTTTGCAGCTGGTTGAAGAAGTTTGGCAGCTATTGTCTGATCCTGGATCGGCTACAGTTACTCAGTCTGATTCTGATGACAATGATGAACTGATGGCTTTGTCTAAACATGCTCTCAAAGGTTTCGTTGCTACTCACACTCTGAATTTTGCTGCTTCTATTTAGAATTTTCAATCCATCATATTAGTTGATTCACGGAGCTACCATAACTTCATTAGTGAAGCCTTGGCTGCAAAGTTAACACCTTGGACGGCCTTACCTCATTCCATGGCTGTCAGGGTTGCTGATGGAGCTATGTTGCAGTGTACCCATGAGGTGGTCAACTATTCCTAGTCAGTTGATGGTCACTTATTTAATACCACCTTTAAGATCCTTCTATTACAATGTTATGATGCCATACTTGACATGGAATGGCTAGAATCCTTTAGTCCTATGCAAATTGAATGGAAGCATAAATGGTTGAGTTTTGACTATCAGGGCAAGTCTGTCAAACTGCTAGGAATTCAGGATGCTCCATCTAAGATTTAGGAGGTTACTGTTAATCAGCTATCAGCTATGGAAAGAACTCATGAATTTTGGGGCATGGTTGAGGTATATGCAGTTGAGTCTGATTCCCAGAATGTTGCTTCTACACTTCCTCCTGTAATATCATCATTGGTGGAACAGTTTGAGGACATTTTTGCTGAACCAACTAGTACTCCACCTACAAGATCTCACACCCACACCATTCCTCTTATTCCAGGAGCACAACCATTCAGGCTGAAGCCTTACATATATACTCCTCTACATAAGGATGAGATAGAAAAGCAGGTTAAACATCTGCTAGACACCAATATGATCAAAGAGAGCTCAAGTCCATTTGCTTCTCTTGTTCTGTTGGTGAAAAAAAAAAGTGGTGACTAGAGGATGTGTGTGGATTACATGAGACTCAATGCCTATATAGTGAAGAACAAGTTTCCCATTCCCATTACTGAGGAACTTCATGGGGCCCAGTGGTTCACCACACTTGATTTGAGGTATGGTTTCCATCAGATTATGGTTCATCCAGATGATCAGTACAAGACAGCCTTTCAGACACACCAAGGCCATTATGAGTATACAATGATGCCTTATGGGTTGACCGGTGCCCTAGCTACATTTTAGTTTGTAATGAACTCTATTTTGGCTCCATTGCTTAGGAAGTGTGTGGTTGTCTTTATTGATGATATTCTTATATACAACGCAACTTTTGAGGAACATGTGGAACATGTCAAGCAAGTCTTTCAATTATTACAATACCATCAGTTCAAAGTTAAACTCTCTAAGTGTTCATTTGCCCAACAACAACTTAAGTATTTGGTACATGTTCTCAGCCCCAATGGTGTCTCCACAAACCCCTCCAAGATAGTCGATGTGCAGAACTAACCTAGTCCAAGTTGCACTAAGGACTTGAGAAGTTTTCTAGGATTGGCTAGGTATTATAGAAGGTTTGTCAAGGATTTTTGTCTATTGGCTAAACCCCTCACTGAATTGTTAAAGAAGGGTGTCCTATTTGTTTGGACAGAAGCTGCAGAATTAGCCTTTCAGTTACTAAAAAAGGCTTTGATTACTGCTCCAATGTTGGCGGTCCCTAATTTCAACAGACCTTTTACTGTAGAAAATGATGCATCTGATTTTGGCATTGGAGCTGTTCTACAGCAAGATGGCCATCCTATTGCCTTTGTCAGCAAGGCCTTAGGCCCTAAGTCCCAAGGGTTGTCCATATATGAGAAAGAGAGCCTTGCCATCCTATTAGTTGTTGACCAGTGGAAAGCCTATCTATTAACTGTTGAATTTATCATCAACACTGACCAACGAAGCTTAGTACATTTAACTGATCAGCAACCCCACTCCTATTGGCAGCAGAAGGCAATGACTAAGCTGATGAGTTTCAAATATAAGATCTGTTATAAGAAGGGTAATACCAACTATGCTGTTGATGCCTTATCTCGAGCTACTCACTCTAGGGGTATTCTGCATGCTATTTCAGTGGCTATGCCTACTTGGTTGGAATCATTGCAGAGTTCTTATGCTGACAGTCCTGTAGCTACCAAGCTTCTTGCATCTCTCTCTCTCTCGAGGACTCCAGATGGGCATTTTTCATTGGATCAAGGCATTATTAAGTATAAAAAGGCAATATGGTTGGCTCATTCTGTTGAGTTTCAGGCAATGGTGACTGACCAGCTTCACTCTAGCCCTATTGGGGGTCACTCAGCTTCTTGGTTACATATAAAAGGATAAGGAAGCTCTTCTATTGGTCACACATGAAAGAGACCATTAAAGACTTTGTCCATTCTTGCTCTGTTTGCCAACAAGCTAAATCTGAGCATGTCCCTTACCCTGGCTTACTCCAGCCATTACCTGTGAAAGCATCTAGGCCCCTAGTTGGATTTCGGTGATTGATGTCAATACAAGATTACTATGACTAACGTGTGTTTTGCAGAGGCAATTAAGTTAGGTCATGGTAATGGAGATCGATTGGGCAATTGAGGTTGTCATGCCCCTACGATGGAAATCGTTTCGGTTTTCAAAGGATGGACGACAAGGTTAAGGATAACTAGTTCTAAGTGTCAATTGAAGTTGGAGAGACACTTAGAGTAGTTTAGGACTTTGTTTTTCCTTTGGACGTACTATGAAGGGGGGTATGAACGGGTAGCTTGACCTAGTTAAGTCTAGTGAGTTAGGTGTGGTGCACACTTGTTTAAACTAGCTCTAGGTAGCTCCTATGAATGCCTAAGATCTTTTGGAGCAAAATTCATTCACATATATTCGGAAGTTGGAAGTGAATGGAGGGTCAAACACTGACCGGACGCTGGCTCCGGTGCGACCGGACGCTGGCCGCAGGGTCCGGTCAGTTCATTTGACTGAGGTGAACAAGTCTGATGTGACCCGGACGCTGCTGGAAGGGATGTGACCGACGAGGACCAG